ATTCCTGCTCTGAAGTATAGTCCCTTTCATGTAAGTGTACAGTTCCTCCTGAGCGTTGGGATTTTTTTTGGCACAATCTGAACAGCACAACCTCTCAAAGCATCTGAACTTGCACAGGCAGTGCTTTGTGCTGGTCCACTTTCTATTTAGTTATACCCTGCTGTACAACTGAGCTGTCGTGTACATCACGGATGAGCTCACTCCAACAGTCTTTACATTCTGTAAGTTGTTCCTTCAGTTCTTTATGGTCTTTCCCAATCCCCCCAACTGATATTTCAGCTCAGGCTCTGTCTCCTGGTTTTACCGTGGCGTGCTCTGGCCACGCAGTATGACATGGAGCAACACTCGCCCTGGGGAATTTGAACAAAATGAACCCTAATACTGCAAGGGTTGTGTGTATTTCCCAGAGACCTACACTTCAGCATCTAAATCCTGCCTTCTTTTACTCCAGCTGCTTTTTAACTGATATAAAACTTTTTAGTTGGAATAAAACTATTTTTTATCCCACTGAGTAAGGCTGTACAATGGAACCAAGGTACATTGCTTTATTGTGCCAGAAAATTTTTCACTTCTCAGAGAGCAGTATTTGTGGCTCCTGGAAAACATAGGTCTTTCAGTGGACTTGAGGCTGAGCTTGCCGGCACTCTGTTTCTGTCCGTATTCTGCTTGGTGCCAGATTAGGACAGAAAAGAAATACAAGCAAAGTTGTTCAACACAGACAAGGGCTCACTGTGCCCTGTCCTCTTTCTCCACTGAACAAACTTTGGAAAGGCCATGAGAGGTAGTGAGCTAATATTAAAATGCACCAAGAATTAAAGCCAGCCATTGAAATTAACAAGAACTTACCTGTGTGTTGCTGCACACATTTTTCCATGAAAAAAAAAAAAAAAAGGAAAAAAAGAGGAAAAGAGCAAATAGTTAATGTTTCCATGGTAGAGAAGAGAGCAAGAGACAGGAAAGTAAGATTTCTGTTGAATAGATCAACTAAATCTATGTATGTTTTTTGTGCTCCACTTACAGTGTTCAACTTTCTAAGTAACAAGTTTAGTTGAAGGAAATATTTCTGCAAAAGTGTGTATTAAAGTAATAAAAAATAAATTACAAAAATGTTGGTGGTTATGTATGCTTTAAGAGACCTAGTACAATGCAGTGCCAGAGTAAAACATCAACTAATCAATGCCTCTTAAGCTGCGAGTATGAAATCTTTACAGCAAATTGTTTTTCCTGGGGATTTGCACTTCAGTAATTATGTGGTGAAATTTAGCAAAAGCTTTCACAATCAGATAAACTCAAGCCAAATTTTCAAACAGAAATATGCACTAGTCATGTTTTTATCTTTTCAGAAAGATGTAATGAGGTGTAAACATCTATGAAATATGTTTGACTTCAAAATCCTATTGAGCCAAAGCTCGTTGAAGTCAAAGGTAATTAGCTGCCTGGTCTAGAGGGCACCTAGCACCACTGATAAATCTCTGCATTGCAGCTCAGATCCAGCCACACCAGTATTTCTATCCAGGTACAGATTAGGGCATTTCTGGCAAATGTACATTTAAAATTAGAATTTGACCATTTAAAAACACAAATATACCTGCTGACAATGGAAAAAACCAAGAGAAGGGTGCTAAAAATATCAGGGCTTGAAATCTCAGCATAATCAAGCTGCAGTCTGGAGTGACTGGGTAAGAGAGTGTGATGAGTGCTTGCCTTGGAGATGTGCTTTGGTGCTGCCTGATTACAGGTACATGGAAAAATGTTGCAATTCCTGAAACTTCATCCCTTCCCTGAGACCGTCACCTTCCACTCCACCTGAGCTATTTACCTGCAATTCGTACTGATTCAAGTACTTTTTCTTTGGCTAGGAGGAAGAATATGGCATACCCACCCAGGCCACAACTGCTGATGCTGTCTGTTCTTTTTGCTGCTGAGGTAAATCTGTATTGATAAAGCATTTGTAAATGCCTTCCTACAAACTCCCACAGCAATTCCACTAATAGCTGGTTTCTGTTAACAGCCTGTCAGCAGGGTGTCAACAGTTTACTTTGCTGAGGACCAAAATGTTTTAATCCAACTCATGTTCTTTGCTGTAATATAAGGGTACATAAGAGGAATGCAATGAGTGTGACATTCTGGTCAGAACAGCTGATCAAATGTCTCTTCTCAGGCTAAAACATAAGAGTTACAATTTTTTTCTCCCCCCCAAAAAGAAAAAAAACCACCAGCCAACTAGAATTATGAAGATGGTCCAGTTAATCTAGCAATTTTGTGCTTAAGGTTTTTGTATTTTCATATATGATGGAATTCTCTAAATAATGATACTTGAATTAATGATTGTATTAGATTTAGTTAGACAGTGCCTTGTTTATTGGATATTTCTGTGTCTATGGAGCAGTAACTAAGTTTCTTCTAGCTCCCATCAGTTCCTTGCTCATAATGGAGGAAATGACTAGTGCAAAAATTTACTTTGGTTTAAAAGTTTACATATGCAACTCCTGAATGAGTTTTAGTGCAAGATTAAGAATTTATTCCGTAAGTTTAGAATCTGTAGGAGGCTGAAAAGCATTCACACAAATCATCTCCTTAAAGCAGTATTCGCTTCCTCTATCACCGCTGAAAAGCCATGGGGTTCCCTATAGCTCTGCTATAGGGCACAATCTTGTGGCAGCTGGGGAGGACCCAGGGGTTGTGCAGCGTGGCTGCAGGTCCTGCGGCCAGTGACATGAGCTGTCCCCCAGTGACTTGTCATCAACAGCCACCTCAGGCACCGCATACGTGGAGAAACAAAGCATATTTGCTAGTACCTGTTTTCTGAATCTTTGCTGACTGCCAACATTTTTTCAGTGAGTTAGGGGGAGACCACGTCACAGAGAGGTGCTGCTTCCTTGCTGTCATCCATCTATCATCTAAATTAGGTGTTTTTTAAATGTTTAATCACCAAAGTATCAAAGCCTTTCTCTGCCCAGTCATGCTTTCCAGTTATGGAGCCCAAAAATGATGGGAATCACAGACTGAGGTTTGTGCAGAGTTAGAATTGGATGGACAAACTCAGAATCAAGCCTCCTCCATAATGACAGACTGATAAATCATGTCTGTTTTCCTCTACAATGCAAAGAGGGAAAAAGCAAAGGAATGACCTAATTTAGTCATTGAGACGTATGGTGTGACAGAAGTGTTCCTAAAAATGCACATAAAATGTAAACCCATCTTTCCTGTAAGTGCTTGGGCAACAGTTGACTTCTGTGACTCACTTAAGAGAAATTCCATGGGAAAAAATTAGGCTTTCTCTGGGATGAAAAGAAAAAGAGTAAATGATATAAACGGTGATTGTAAATCAAATCCCTGCCTAATATCCCCTGCCTGCACTATATGAAAAGCAAACACAGCCAGTAAAATTTCAAGTGCTGCAGTAAGTTCCCTGTCTTTGAGAGGTGAAGAGTACACACTCCCACAAACAGAGCTCGGCTTTGAAGGTCAGCCTGAGAGCGCCGATCCTTTTCAAAAGAGAGAGGGAGTGCATCTCGTCTGAGGCTCTTGGCATGCTGGCTGAAAATTATGAATGTTTAACCAGTAGCTTTTTCCTTACTCCAATCAGATGTTGGTCTGATGTGGAGTAATCTACAGTGGAGTCATGGCCAAAACATCTTCCCCAATTGGCTGCGGGGAGGAACAGCCAGAGTGGAAAAAGCTTGTGGATGGCCTACGTGCAGTTGAGTTCAAATGCACAGCATTTGTTTATGGCAGCTTATATTCAGCTGCACATCAGCTGTGTCAATTATAGTCCTAGAGCATAAGGGGAACAAAATGTTAGAATTATGTTTGAGAACCACAGAATTATTTGTAATCATTCAACAGAACAAATGCGTATTGATATATAGCAAGCTGGGCTGCTCACAAACAGCAGAAGGAAGATATGAAGAGCAGAATTAAATGGCCTACTTTTACTAAAACAAGAATCTTCATCCTCTCTGACACTGATTTGCAAAAAGACACACAAGGTACCAAGAAGAGAAAGAGGCTGGAATGGAGGTTTTGTAGAAGCCTGGCTTTAGCGATGTATGAGATTTCTTCCATTTCTGTGATTTAGGGGGGAATTTTTTCTGCCGTGATCTTATCTTCATTTTCCTTTGGAAATTGCATCATAGTGCGCTCCCTGGCTTTGGTAGCTACTTCAAGCATGGTCCAATTTAAAGACTATATTCTTTTTTTGGAGCAAGTGATTTCTATTCTTTGGATTGGAAAGCCAGGGAAGTTATCACTGTTATCTCTAGGGGGGTGAACCATAAAACTGGGTAATATGAATAGCCTGTGGCAATGCTAATACCTCACAACAGCTTTATATAGTGGTTTGAGGAGTCCTGATGACTTGATAAATATTTAACAATAGTCTCGACATCATCATTCAGATTGCTAGTCCCCTGTTAGCCTGGGTGGTGCTCCGTAGGCTCTTGCAGACTGTCACTACAATGCTGTGCACAATGCGTCTGACACTCCTCTGGAGTCACGGTACCAAATTTACCAAACTGATAGCAATAATAAAATCAAATTAGTAATAATCTACGGGGATTACTTAATGTTCCTGTCTAAGAAAAGATGCTCACTAAAGACTTTTGATCTTGAAAAACTTCCAAAGGATGTGCTATTTAGAAAGGCGAGGTTGAAAAAAAAATACCTTGCCTTTGGATGAGAAATCAGTTTGTAGTAGTTCCTAGTTTCTTGCACATGGGACAATTTCAAAATGGCTTTTATGGACACTATTTTGAGAAGTGGAAACCATGTCTTTTACGTTATCTGGCAGCTTGAAATCTTTCAGATGGTGCTAACCTCCAGGGGCCTGATCCAACAACTCCCTCGATCTGCATTCAGTTTAGGTACAAACGCTCCAACTGGCTAGTGCAAAAATACATGCAAAGTGAGAGGATTAAGTGATCCACAGTCTTGGGATCTGATTCTTGCATCTCATGAACCAACAACTTCAAAAGGATCTTGAAAAAAAGATGAAGGACACATGACTGGAAATACTGTACTCATGGCCAAGTGGCTGGAAAGGCGTGTTAATGTTTTTGAGCACTGTTCCAGGTTGGAGCAGACTTAAGAGATGGTTGAGTCATCTCCACGCAGAGCTGGCAGAACCCAAGATTATACACAAAAAAAGGGGGTGGAGCTAAAGATAGTCACATGTCCCTGCCATGAAACACAGAGGATGAAATATGTATGGACCTGCAGAGCTTTTATACTGAGACTAGGTTAATGCAGTACTAATACAGCTCTGGCTACATTGCATGAGCATATTTTAGTAGAAAAAGTGAAGATGCAGCATCTTGAAAATAAGGACACATGAAAGGTAAATAATAGGAAAATGACTGGCATAAAGGATATTTTTTGTTTACAATTTGTATCAAATCTATCTGGTTAGAAACAGCTTAGTAGCTTAACACAAATGTTTACATAGCCTTTCCAAGCAGAGTAACAAGAGTAGTATAACTGATTTTTTTTTTAATGAATCAGGTGTACAAACCCCACTCTGGGAACCCGAATGCAAGAATAAGTAATATCTATATTCCCCACCACATGTGGGGAGCATTACAGCTGAGCCACAGTGAGTTCTGCAGGCCTTATTTCAGCAGAATTCTGAATTCTAGCAGGCAGAATGTAAGCACAATGAGACAGCCACATTAATAAGGCTTTCCTGTAAGTAAGGGTTTTGCAGAGCTGATAATTTGCTAGGTAGCTGCCTGCCAGAGTCAGATACAGAGGCTATAAAGTTTTCCTGATTTCTTTCTGGCTATATCAAAGAATGTTGTTAATGTGTAAACATCTCAAATGCAAGAATATCTTTACATTGGTACAGGGATACAAGGAAAGGGGGCTTGTATCTACTCCTTTTCTTTGCTATGACACCAGGATGGCTTTTACCTGGCCATTTACTAGGAGCGTCCTGAGGACGTGCCTGCCAAGTTTCTCTCCTCGTTTACGTACCCTGGAATAGAGGGTGCCTGCACAGTTTATCTGAGACACTATTAGGCTGAGTATTATGATTTCTACTCTTCTAAATCCTATGGAAATGATTTTGGCTACAGCCTTATATACTATGCATACCCTCTTGATGGAGTGAAGAAAGACTGAGGAAGAGGGAAGAGCAGAAGATGACAGTGACCCAGGCTCGTCAGCATGTGATGCTTCGACTATGTGCAATTCTGGCCACTTTCTTAATTCTGCTTGGGATTTTATGAGCAGCCATTCACTGTCCTGGAGCACTGCTGAGCTACCTGTGACTCCTGCTATATATTCATCATGATGTTCCTCCCCATTCTGGAGGACATTGCTGCCTTATTCCGATTCATAAAGTAAGTTTGTTTAGTTTTCTTTAAATGGGAAGGAATTTCATTCCATCACATTCCCTAATGTAGAATCAATCTGTATGTTGCCTTGAACAGTACAGGCTTCGGATTGTCTGGAAATGAAACAGCCAGATCACCTCCGAAACCAGCCTGCTAAAGCCCAGACTACAGGAGCAAGATGTACTGCCAATGTCAGGTTCCGCCAACCTTGACAAGTCATCAGAATTATCTTAGCTAGAGCCTTTATCTTCCTGAACATCCAAACTAAAGAAGCACAAACTGTAGTCTCTGAGAAATTATTTCAAATATTCTAAGTAGCCATCCTTCTGGCTTCCTTTGAGTGATGTGCTAAAAAATAATTAAATTTCCAAATCTTTTGAAAGGAGCCCTCTTGGGCATCTATTGGAAGTTCTCAGTTTATTCCAGTCATTCCCTGAAGAGCAGATAGGCATGTTGTCTTGAATGCAGATTGGATCACATTTATCGAAACTATGCTGCTATTCAAAGCTTGCCTCCTCTGTGCCCCTTCCCATGTAAGCTGAGAACAGTCAAGCTCCCAGCCTTAAAAAAAGGCATGCGTGCTTTTGCTCA